GAACACTTTTCTAAAGCAAGGAAAGAACATTCAGCTTTGGGGTTGAAAATAGGAACATGATCTAGAATAGGAAAAAGAAGAGATCAGATATTTGGTCAAAAGCCATGAAGCTTGACTTTAAGAATTCAAGTTTCTCTTATACCACAGGACATCAAGTAAGATTTCACAGCTTTCTGTAACAAAATTAAGAGAGTGGAACATGCTTGAATTTGTAGCAGGTATCCTTTCTAGTTGGGCTAATCCCTCCAAAAACAGCTTTACAGAACCTGAAGCTGCAATGATGCAGTAAAAAAGAATAACTGGACCAAATAGGAGAGAGAGAAGAATGGAAGATAATCAGTTTTCCAATGACTACTATTCCTTATTTAAACAAAATTAGTTTTTTAAAATAAATGTATTTACTACTTTGAAAGACAAACACTTTTAGAAGGGCTTTTCAGTATCTGCCCTGTTTTGACATTCTCCAGTGAATAACCATTACCACAGATACAGAAGTTCAGCTCAGGAAGGAAACCATTGACCATAACTGGAGACCTGAACTCCCACTTGAAGAAAATGACTATCTTTTTGGGACTGTGTCAATTGTCAATACCTGAAGTGTCACGAAGCCCTTCTAATACCAATCAGTGTTGACAATGCTCATATGTCTAGACCAAACTCCTTAAGTCAATGGAATACTCCTTTTCCTCCACCCCTCAGCTCTCAAAAGCAAAAAGCACACTGTGGTATGAATGCAAGGGGCTAATTAAGTTTCTTGAGGGATGATGCATGTGCTTAATTACTGATCTAAGAACATTAATTGGCAGAATTTTAATTGATATACACAATCCCTGATTTAAGGTGAAATTAACAACTTTTAAGTAATTTAAGAGTTTTTTCAACTCAAGCATTTAACAGCCCACATTCCAGTGTCACTGCCCACCCTGCCCAGGGTGCAGTAACTCTGCTGCTCCTCAGTGGATTACAGATTTCTGAGTAATTTGCTCCGTGCCCCAACACAGCAAGAATTAGGCTGAATTTATGCTATCCTTCACAGCAAAACCATTGCCACTTGTTCAGCTTTTGTACAGCTTGAGCAGTAAGGCAAGGAGATACAGCCTTTACTAAAATAAGCTAAGCAAAGATGGAAAGAGGATTTACAGCATATGATAAGGGAGACTGGAAGCTTCAGAATCTGGGTTTGTTTTCAGTCCTACAGGCAAAAATCACTACAGCTATACATAATTAAGCAAAGAATGTAAAGACACTTTACATGTTTATTTTTTCTTCCTAGCCTATTAAGTAAAGGGCTGGAAAAACAAATACAATTTTAAACCCCACCACCTCCAGAAACAGTACACTAAGTACCACATACATAGCTTAATTATAAAATTTATCTACAAACAGAAACCAACTTCCTACTGGAACATCCCTCTTCCTAAACTAGATTTGCATATCAATTAATGGCACAGAAATGAGACAGCAGTATAACACAACATGAAATAACAAAGTTGAAGTCAACAGACAACGCTGCCAGCTAGCTGAAAATATGAATCTGCAGATGAAAATAGGCATTTTTATATTGATGTGGTATTACAGTGCAATAATGACCTTATTTTGATTCTATTTATTCTAATAAGCCTATACTGATGAGTTTTATTCATATGCAACAAAAAACCCCATAACATCTAGTTCGTATCTTCAACCCAAACTGTTTTTCACATCATTATGGAGCCAGAAGACATCAAGAAAAAAGTCCACGATAGAATCCCCTCTACCCCGTATTTGCTTTGGCACAAACATTTCTGTCTTTGACTGTCAGCTTTTATTTTAATCTTACATTCTGGTTTACTTTCCCAAATAGCATTACTTTTCTTTAAAGACATATAACAAATATTTAATGTTTGGAATTTATTTCTTATATTGCCATAACTTTATGCTGCATAAATGCCTTATGCCCAGTTATTCCTTACTTGAGCAAGTTCTTAACTCTGATATTTAAAATTTCTCTGTAATTTTTTACATCCAGCATTGCTTTCCATTCTGTTTGCTTCCTACTTTATAATCATGGTTTTTAAGCACTTATCTTCTATTACAAGACTTTATAGCCTATCATTCCTATGGAGGTAGTTAATTTAGAAAATAGCCTAAAATTTGTCACAGACCATCAAAAACTACTAGAATTGTACATTATGGCACACAGTCAATCTTGGCCAATAGCACACAGCTGACAGTTTGCCCAAACACTGGCGTGATTTAATGGTTTCCCTTTGGTCACTGAAGCAGAATTCTTTCTGACCTGCTTCACCCATGGAGCACCTTGGCAGCTCTGCAGGAGCCACACAAGAAATTCAAGCAGGCAGGCTGAGACTCGCTCCCAAGACTGGTCTGACAGCTCCTGGAAAGCGTTGAACTGGGATCCCAAGCTACCACTGAACTGAAAAAGCTGCTTCCTTCAGCCTTCCCAAGGAGCCGCAAAGGGCACCTCAGCCACGTGCCCCACAAGCAGAGGAACAGTCACACAATGGCTGAGGTTCAGATCTCTGAACTTGTGCAGTCTCCCTGCTCAAAGCAGGGTCACCTCTAACAGGTTACTTGGGATCTTTCCCATTGCAGTGTGGTTTGAGCATCTCCAAGCCCAGGGAGAGCCCACAGGTCCTTGTGCCTGCTGGGGAGCCCAGAGCTGTACAGCACTGCACTGGCTGTAAGCAGGGGTGAGTACAGGGGCTGAGACCTCCCTGCTGCTGCTGCTGCTGTCCCAGTGCCACCCAGAGTGCTGTTCAGTTGTCTTTGCCACCAGGGAACGCCACCCACTGGGCCATGCTTCACTTGTGCACCAGCCTCACCTCTGGCTGCTGGACAAGCTCAACAATAATTAGGTACTTTCTTTCAGGTTCTTACTTAGGGTATAATGTCTACCCAGTGGTAACAAAATCAAGACAAGAGCGGTGGTGGGGACATTAATCAAAATGCCAGGTGAGACCACAGTAAACAAAGATTACTTGGCATGAGAGAATAAAACGGTATTTTGGAAGCATTAGAGAACATTTCAATGCTCACATCCTTTAGCAAGAAAGGAACAAAAAGAAACAAAGCTGCTGCCTTACTAAACCAATAAAACCACAAATTCTGTTAACAAACAAGTCCCAGAATCATACTCTGTAAAAGCTGTTCACAAAGAAGATTGCCATACAGTCAGACCAAGTGCAAAGCAGGGAAACTGAGTGAAGTCTTCTCTTCATTAAACAAAATGAAGAGAAGAGAGGCATAACACTGACTAAAATGCATAATTTGAGTGAACTAGAACAAAAAAGGCCTCAGTGCATTCGACATGCAACTGCGTTCTGTGTTATTACTCTGATGTTATGCAAATTAAAGAGTTAGGCTTGCAGGCAGAAGGTAAATAATCTTATTTAAAACTTGCTTTTCAACACACAATTTCCTATTCAACAAACAAAGAATGAAAAGCTTCAAGTATGATGCTTTCACCACAGGGTCTTGCAGTATGTCATGAAGACATCCATGCTCATGGCCAAACCAAAGCTGAGCATTGCTTAATCAGGCATAACAGAGCTTGCTAGGAAAGTGCAAATATTTCCATAGTGCTTTTTCAGCAGACCTAGTAGGTGCAGTAACATGATGATGCAGCAGAGATGAGCTCCTGCTCAGAACAGAGGGGAACATCCACCAGCAGTGGGAGAGCTGCTGAGCAGCCAAGCTGCAGTTATCCCAGCTCATGCCTCGGGTATTTCTGACTCACATGCACGGGCTACTTCACTAGTGAGGCACAACAGCCTCTTCAGTCGATTTTTTCAGGACTATTTCCTATTAATACTTTGTAACCCACTTCCCCTTCACTTCTATTCAGCCTCTACATCTATTTCCTATTTGGCATTTACTGAAATTGCTGCTGGCTGAACAGGATTAGACAGCAAAGCAGCCAAGGAATAAGAGACACATGACAAACAGGTCCCTGTTACACAACAAAGAACAAGTACATATGCTCTAATTTGACATCAGTAAAAAATATATTTTTCCCCAACAAAATGAGAGAGATGTGTTCAACTATTCCACCTAAGAAAGGCAAAGTACATAATTCATGTAAGAGAATTCAACTTTCAGCATCTTTATAAGAGCAAGATTTTAACTAGAAGAGTTGCATACCTTCTGCAATCAGGCATATCAAAACAAGATTCAAGGATCACTCAGGATCAAATAGCAAAGGCTACCTAAAATCTGCAAAACATGATTTCTCTAGACAAAAAGCAAATTCTTGAAAAATCAGTTTTCATGTCCTCCTGGCTGTCACAGGACCACAATCAGGATTCACTGGTCTGCATAAAATAGCTACACCAAAGTACACAAACTGCAAACACTTCATATCCCACTGTGAGCCCAAGCAAAACCAACTAGCTAACCAGTGAGAAGGAAAGCAACAATCACAAAATGGTGAATCATGCAAACCAGCAAAATGTTCTTAGGATCATGCAAGATATAATGGCTACTGAAAAACCCAAACTGTATCAAAATTTCTTTTCCCAAGTAAAAGCCAGCCTTCCTCTCAGTGCATTAAACAGCAGGATGATACAATAGAACAGTTGTTCCTGCAATCAGCAAATGCTGTTCTGCTCAGTCTGGTCACCTACACGTATCAGCTGAGTGGGCCCAGACAGATGGGAAGCTCCACCACCTGCTTAATCAGCAGCCTAAAGGCCTCTGACAAGAAATTTTGTATGACATTTGAGAATTAATCTGAGTTTTAACAGAGAAAGGTGTTTCTCTAAAAGCATTTAATTTGTGACTAAAAATGATGCCTTCAATTTTGACTTATTTAATACATTAAAACACAATTTATTCCAAGGAAGGAGAACAAACTCAAGCTTAAAATGCTAAGAGATAAACATTAGGCAGGAAGGCACACCAATACATGACAATAACTGCTCTGAGGTCAAGCAGCTTGCTCCCGTTTCCCAACCTGCTCTCTACTGCCACTGCTAGCTGGCTCCTCCCAGGGGCCTCACCTCGATGCCGCTCTGCCTGGCCAGTTTCACAGCCGTGTTGTAGTAGCCGCAGCGCAGCAGGTGCTCCACCATCATGCGGTCCATGCGCTTCTTCTTCCACATGTTGGCGGCGGCGGGCTGGTCGCTGCTGTGCTCCTTCAGGTGCTCGATCCTGCGCTTGCACAGCTTGGCGCTCTCATCTTCGGCCTGGATGGACTCCACGGCCTGCAAGGGAAAGCCGACAGTGAGGGCTGCACGCTTTCCATCTGCTTTTAAAGCAAGGCACAGCCATTGTTTGTAAGCATTCTTTATGTGTCATACAGCTACTCCCAGTAGTGTCTCTTTTGTTTAGAGATTGCCTATGGCAGTGCATAAGCCTCTGCGTGGCTGGTCCAGTTCTGAGATACCCTTGCACACAAGTAAGTTTTGATCTATTTGACACTATGAATATATACATTTTTCTGCTTAATTTGCAGTTTATCTGAAACCAGAAACGTATCAACCATGGCAGCAACTGCTGTAATAGTCTGCAAAGAGCTTTGTGAAGGTTTGCAATCATCTGATCCAAACAGTTGAAAAGCAAAATTTCCACCTCTAACCCATGCATGGCCTCTTCCTCCAGCAGCTGTCCTGCTGGATTAGTTCTACTCAGGAGTGATGCAGAGTAAACCCACATTACTTCTAATACACTGGAGCCATTTTCATCAGTCATGCAATAATGGAAATTATACAAATGGTTGGCCTCTTGGCACCTGTAATTCAAGGATCTGAAAGCACTTTTTCAAAATCATCAGTTTTGTTAAACTGGTATTATTTTATATATAACTCTGCTACTGTGGGAATGTGCATCCCTTGTTAAGGAGCTTTACTTAGGAAAACACATTTGTCCAAAGAAAATAGATTGATGATTTAAAACCAACATATTGGCATACCCAGCGAAAAAACACCCACCAATCCCTCAAGGTACTGCCACAATATTTTTAATTAAAACCAAAACACACAGCTCAGTTGCTTTCCTTCACCCTTAGAGCCATCACTCCAAGCCAGCTGACTCAGTGCACAGCATGGGACAACTCTGGGCCAGGTCAGGCTACAGAACTCCAGAGAGCTGGCAGAACTTGAATGTGCCTGCTAGGGTAAAGGCCAACCAGCGGAGGATGGTTAGTACCTTTCCCATCTGCAGCATATCACTGGTGATGCAATTGCAACTTAGGCTGCCCTGTGGTGACTTTAAACCTGCTGGCTTGTGTTGGAATGACTGCACAGCTCTGGCAGCTGCAAGGCAGAGGCAGAGGCAGAACCTGGCAGGCTTTTGGCAGCCCACTCTGCACTCCATGCTGACACAGAGACCTTTCCAGAACTCAAACTGCAGTATCACACATCATACACCTCCAGCTCTGGAAGCACAGGCTGGCTCTAATTGCATTTACCATGCCTACCCATAGACCTCTTCTAGAAGGATCAGCATTTGAAAAGCAAAGTTAAATGAGAGAAAACTTGCAAGGAAAGCTCACTGAGCTTATTCCCCTCTTCCCCCCAATTAAGCCTGACTCTGATCTGACCCTTGATACCAAATTCAAGTATCTGAAACACTAGTCACCATCTAAGAGTCTCTTAACATCCATGTAGACATCTGTAGCATAAGTAATTTTTATTACTGAAGTTGGAGTTACTTGTGCTGCTGACTTGAGCTTTATTTTGTAACAGTGTCTGGTGACAAGTATTTTGTTTGCGTTATAAACTGGGTCTCTTCCTATGCAGCAGGCAAATACTAACTCAAGACAAAACACACTTCCACTATTTAGATATCTGCAGTATTATCAGATGTGAAGGCAAGCTTGAGAAATATTCTGAATACAACTAAGAACTCAAGGCAGCCAGGCACAAAGGTTAGACCCCTTCTGCTTCCAAAGGGCTCTTCTTATATGGCTTTGGATCTGGACTTCTACAGCTCTTGCTGGTTTTTGATCCTTCTAGTATGTTCAGAAAGGCTGCAGATTCTTTTCAAACCCTCTGAAGCAAGTCTATCTGGACTTGCCCTGCTGGATGTTAACAGAACTTGAGGGAACAAGCATATTAAACAGGATACAAAAGGGAGAACACAAAGGCCTAGGTTTCCCCAGGATCATTTTTAGAACCTAAGAAACCTGCTGCGTTTTAAAGCTCTCTTTCAAGAGTGAGTGAGGTGCTAAATAAAGGAACCATCCAATTCTATTAGGGCCATCTCAGCAGTTCATGAGATCCTTGTCTAAACACAGGAGGCAACAGAGATCCCACATGGGTCCAAAGGCTCTAAAGAAAACAATAATTTTGCTCAGGGCAGAGATTATAGAGAAGACAGTTGGGAGTTGAGGGTTTGGAGCAGAAACAAGACCTTTGTATTTCAGAGGACTTTTACTGTTAAATAATTTTTTTGGCCTTTTGTTCTTTCCGAGTAGCTACAAGATTCCCCAGAGTCTTTCAGGCAGTCAAAAACAAATGAGCAATTAATCCAAAATGGAGCTTTGCACCCAAAACACTCAGCAATGCCTTCAGACACACCCCCACAGTCAGCAAAGCTTTAACAAGTAAATAACTTTTACTCCTACACATCATTACTACACACCTACCAGCAAGATACAACACCTCTGTCAGAAATAGCTCCTATTTTTCTGTAAGTAACAGAGAAGTGAAGAAAACATATCCTTTAAGACCTTTCTAAGTCTCACAAGCCAAGGATGAAAAGAGCAATTAATTTATCCAGCGTTCTGCAGAACAGCTTTTCAACCTTTAAGTTGCTCAAGCAGAAAACCCCAAATCAACACATATGACAGCGTTATTTTCATGTTGCAAACCTCCAAGGTATTTTGATGCTTCACATAGTACTGTCACAAGATTTATATCTGTTGGTTATTCCATTTAAGTTTCAATGAAATGACTCTGCTTTTATGTTTCATCTATTTATTTTTGGAGAAGCACTGCTCTCAAGTCAGGCGACAGAGCTATTTCCATTTTTCTGCAAGGCTTGTTTCAAGTAAGTGTTCTGATGACTCTAGGGATGAGTAATATTCCCATCCAAAATAAGGATGGCTTATACTTCTTTTTCTGAGAACATATACATCTTTTTCTAAGAAAGATGTGGTAAAAGCATGAAAGGCTGGTTGTATTTTGTTCAAGCTTAACAGCTAGAAGTAGGTTATCGTGCCAAATTTTGTTTAAAAGGCTCTTAATATTCCCTAGGAATCTTTCAAATTGCAAGTTGAGTGTTTATCAAAAAAATTCAAGTAACAATCCAGGACAAACTTGCACTTTCTTCTGCAGAGAAGTCTCAACTCTGCATACAACTATTCCTGCACTGGGAGTTTCCCATTTTTCAGCTTCACCTTCTACCTGTTTTGCTATTCCAGTGATCAATTTATTCAATTACACAAACCTTTCCATTAGACAAGCAGGAATTGTACAAATCAATTCATTTTGCTACTATTTCTTTTCTGTTAGTAAAGAAAGTCCTTTCCAGGACTACAAATATCTCTTAATTTTACCTCTCAACAGAAGTTTGTTTTATTATACTTAGACAAGGACCACCAAATTGTGTTTCTGAAGCACAGCGAAGCAAAGTTTCACTTTTAAAGATTCAGTAATGCCTGGTGCCTTGAAGAGAAAACGCCAGCAAACAGCACAGCACTGAGGCACAACAGCACCCACCTTGCGTTTCAGCACGCTGAGCTTCTCAACAACCCCATCCAGCAAACAGCACAGCACTGAGGCACAACAGCACCCACCTTGCGTTTCAGAACGCTGAGCTTCTCAACAACCCCATCCAGCAGGCTGACAACAGAGTCCACGGCGGGACAGCTGCTGAGCGTCTTCTCCAGCTCGGCCACCACCATGCTGACGTGGCTGGTCTCGCGGTCGATGTTCTTCTGGGCAGCGCGGAACCGTTTGTTCAGGGTTTCATACGGCACCTGGAGCACACATAGCAGCTCGTCAGGATTGCTGTGTTTAACAAGTCAGCTCCTCCAGAGCTTACAAAGACTATGATTTCATCTGATGCAGCCCAAAGAGCACCTTGGTTCCAGGGGACTAGAGGTCATTGACTGAACTTCAGTTCCCATACTGAAACCCTTGTTTAAGTTCTCTCAGCAAGGAGCTCACACTTCAAAGATTATGAAAAAACAACAGGAAAAATGCTGCAGTTTCTTGTCTGATACCAGGTTCACCTATCCTGCTTTGGCTGTAGGAAGCATTGATGGAAACAATCCAGGGACAACAAAATATGAAGACAAATCTGTACCTACAAAAGGAAAGCTACAAGTTAAACCACAACTGAGAGATCACTCTTCAGACCCTGACTTTGTAATTTTACATTTCTTCCCCTCACAAATTCATTAAAAAAGAGAAAGTTACCTTTGAGAGAAAGCATGTATAATGCATACTGGCTACTGAAAAATTTATACACAGTACACCAACAGTCATTCAGGAAATCCAACAAGTCTCCTACATACCTCTACCCATGAAAGACTACTTTTTAGGAAGTAATACTAAAAAGTAGTATATACTTTGTATATACAAGAACTATAAGGAATGCCAAGAGAAACCCCATGTAAATTTTAAGAGATAAAAGCCTAAAATGTATGACTAAACTGGTTAATTTCCTCTAATGCTCCATTCCTGAGTTAAGAGATTTGCCTGTCTTTGAGGTCTCCTGTCCTGCTTGTCCCACACCTTTGTGGAACAGCTGAATGAAACCTGCTACTGATGGCCATTAGGGACACATGGATGGAAGCAGCCAGCCTGGGGAATGATTTGGGGAAAGCTTACAGAAGTGTTAAACTGCTTCCACTACAGCGGCAGCAAAAGCAATTTACACAGGAAGTTCTATTACTTCACAGAAACAGGAATTTTTAAAGACATTCCAGTGCTATACACTTAATTCAGCCATATCTTTAATCTTTTAAAAGTCAATGAGAAGTTCTTTCAGGTAGTTATGATAATCTTGATTGCTTTTCCATTAATCAAAGGCATAATTTAGATAGCAATCAGATTATCTATGTTAAAGGTAAAACAGGAAGCACAAATCAGGGCTCTGTTTGGTACATATCCCGTATATGTTTGATTACAAATCTTTCAAGCATACAACTTCTAATCAATTATATCAAGGGCTCAGTTTTCCTCTTTCTAATTATCTGCATGCAAGGAAGTATCCCCAGGGGCCAGGGCCCTTGTGGGCTCCGTCAGCAGAGAGGCTCCTACAGCCACTGCAATTCCCCATCAGAGAATAGCTTGGTTCAGAGGGAGGAAGATGAGCCAAAGCATTCGCTTTCCAAGACTTTGCACTGCCTACAAAAGGTTGTGGTTCTCTGTAGTAGTAATAAAAGACAAGGACAATCCTGCTAAGATATGAAAGGCTCCTCTTGTAAAGACTGAAATGATCTGTTTAATGGTTCCTGGTACCTCAAACTAAACCTAAACAAGTGACAGGACAAGACCACCCCAGAAGGCACCGAGCCAAACCAATTCTTTTCCTTATACATTCTGCCCTAAAATCCCAGCAGTACACCCACCCAAAACTCAAGCCACATAAACCATGACAAGTTATAGGCTTCAACACCTACTTAGCTGCCTATGTAACAACACTCCATCTCCAACCCCCTTTTCTTTTTTCCATTTACACAAAAAATATGAAATATTTTAAAGATCCACAGATAAAATGAATGCTCTAGGAGGCCATTATTTTGACATGTCATGTTTTTGAACATGAAACTTATTTCCAACTCTAAGACCTGATGCCAGACAACATTAAGATAACTTCTTCCCTTCCTTTGCCCCAGTGCATCTTTCTTACTGTTCACCAAAACATATTTCTGTAAGTATTTCGCTAATCAGCTTTCCATGCCACACCGAAAATCTGCATCAATAAAGACTTTCACAAGCTACTATTAATTTGAGGTACCTTTTTTAGTACAGCAAGTGCTTTTGTTAAATTTTGAGCAGTCAGCTGGACACAGATCTAGTCAGTTGGGAAAAAAGTCTGTGTTTAATCTCCCTCTTGCCTAGTTCCTTATCTGCACTCAAGAGCAGTAACAGCACCCATTTCCTGTGCTGTCTCTTCAGCTTGCAGAGTTCTGGCACACTTTGTGTTCATGTGACATTTAGAACAATTGAACTTTCCATTTCAGCTGCTAACACTATATATCATTTAGAATGTCTAGGTGCAATAGGTTTTGAATCTTAGCTTTTTTTTCCCCCTACCATAAAAACAATCTGAATGTCTTCTGTGGAAGAGACTGAGTTGAAATGTTTCCACTATATACTCTGAAAGTAAATAAAAGTAAACATATTGAGAAACATAATTTAGTGTGTCATAAGAAGGGAAATTAAAGGTACAATGAAATTATTTGCATAACTGGAGCTGACAGTAAATACACTTTACCAGAGATTTGCGTAATTTGCACAGGCAGTTGTTTCTTATTCTAGAGCCAGCAGTTTTCATGAGAATATTTGTGAATCATATCTAGGTACAGATTTTACACTTACTTTACAGAGACAGAGTCTGTGAATGCCAAAATTTAGAACTACATTCCTTACACAGCAGGATTTTATCTTGAATCTGCATCTTGATCTGCTGGTTCTTTTATTACTCCCACAACTCCAACATGCCAAAAGACCCAGCACTGGCTTGCTTTGCTGCAGAACCCTTCACAAGTTACAAGCACTGCACCAACAGGAGCATTTCTTCCCACCCATACTGAAAGTTAATGAAAGGAGAACATATAAGTGCTCTGGACAATGCAGTTTTAAACATTTTTAATTATAGTTCACTTGATTTTCAGGTACCATTGTTAGAACACTGTGAACACCAAAGTTTTCAGACTAAGAGACAGATGCAAGATTTATATCTCATTAATTGCCATAAACCTATTAGAGACTGGGAATCTTGGCTGCCAGTACCATTCTGTGACCAAACCTGGATTACACAGCACGATTTAGAGACAAGAGTGACCTACAGAGCCCAGCCTAGGGAGGCATTACCTTAAGGAAAAAAGAATGAATTAGCTACTAGAACATCTGAAATACAGCAGCAAGTACTGACCAGGATGGGCTCTGTGTAAGCACAATACCAACTCGTCCTACTCGTTAGAGCTTGAAAAGCCACACCCAGCTGGCTCAGATGGTGAGCACACAACAGGATACAAAGGAGAGTTGTAAAACGTTAGTGGGCAGCACATTTAAATCCCGTGGCACTAAATAGATTCTGCTCCTTTTGTTCATCAGCTTCCACAGCTGCAGACACATATTCAACCTAAGCATGTCCTAAACCAGGTCAAACTTAAGCCTAGTGAAAAGGAATTTGACTGAAGTTAGATCAACCTACACAAGGGGTAAAAATTCCAGTAACACAAGTTTTTCCAAGATCAGAATTTTGTTGGGATGTGAAGCAAAGTCTGCTTGGCTGGAGGCTTCTGCAACCATAGCGTGGATGTTTCCAGGTGCTAAACACTAACAAAAAAGCAGAGACAACTGATTAACCTGAAACAAGTATTTTCTTCATTTCAGGAGTTACTTGACTGTTTTCAGAAAGCCAAAAAGTGGTGTGCTGTCCCAGGACATGCTCCAACAACCTCCAGCTGTGGAGACAAGACTCAGAAGAGCATTGTTCTGGTGTACAAGCTGGAACTGGTGGAAGAGCAGGAAGGACTGCCAGGAGAGCCACACGTTGATCACTCAGTTAGAGCAAGGAGTAGAAAACTGCAGAGCTAAGGATGTCAGGGGGAGGTTTTAAGTGCACACTTGGGAACTCAGCTGTGAAGTTTACCACCTGGCCTTCAGCCCAAACACAGTCCTCTTCCTGCCCATGAATGCAAATAAGGTACCAAAGCAAGGCAGAGTTCTCAAATCATGAAGTGGCTAAAACTATTCACATTGGGCAACTGTAGACAATCTTTTCGTGAGCCATATCAAATGTAACTTGAAATAGCCTTAAGCAGAGTGAATTTAAATATATTTTAATAAAAATAAATTTTTCAGCAAGCCATTCACTTACTAAGTGATTCCATTTTCTTGAGTTTTTTGAAAACACATTAAAAATAGAAAAAACCACCAGCCAGTATTAAATGCTTGCATATGTTGTAACCTGATGTTTTGCAAACTGTATACACTTTTCAAGTGTTAATTATCAGGCAGCAAATAAATATTTAAAGAAATATAAATAATTTTAAGCCAACTGCATACAGGAGTGCATCAAAACAAGTGTGAGCAGCTGGTGAAGGGAGGCAGTCTTGCCCCTCTACTCTGCTCTTCTGAAGCCCCACCTGCAATGCTGCACCCAGCTCAACACCAGAGGGATCTGAACCTGCTGGAGCAAGGCCAGAGGAGGCCACAGAGGAGACCAGAGGGCTGAGCCCCTCTGCTGTGGGGACAGGCTGGGACAGCTGGGGGTGTCCTGCCTGCAGAACAGAAGGCTCTGGGAAGAGCCTATGGCGCCTTGCAGTACCTAAAGGGGCTACAAGAGAGCTGCAGAGGGACTTTCACAAGGGCATGGAGGGACAGGACAAGGGGCAATGGCTTCAAACCATAGAGGGCAGGGTTAGATATGAGGAAAAAATTCTCTGCTGTGAGGGTGGAAAGGCCCTGACACAGGTTATCCAGAGAAGCTGTGGATGACCCATCCCTGGAAGTGTTCAAGGCCAGCCTGGATGGGGCTTTCAGCAACCTGCTTTAGTGAACATGGCAAGGATGCTGGAATTAAATCATCTCCAAGTTCCCTTCAAAGTAAACCCTTCTATGATTCTAAACCAGCTAATCCTTTACACAGCATCCTACAATGCATACTGCTTTTTTACTCATTATCAAGATTTTACTGAGATTCATTTTTCTTCTCTTCTTAAGGTTTTCTGAATTTATCTACGTGTGCACACCTTGTAGTCTCTCCATAAATGGAATATATAGAACCAGCTGCTGAACA